AGAACCACAAGGATTCATCAATGCTATGCGCTGTCTGGGCTACCCTCGGAAAGCATCGGGGAACTTCAGCTAACTCAGGACACAGAAACTTGTCTGCAGTGCTCCAAGTCACTAGAGCAACATAACCAACACTTCACACTCCATCTGTTTGCTGCCAAGATCAGTTTTGCATGCCGGCTAAAATACACACAAACAATAAAGTTGTACTAAGCACGTCCCATGTGTCAACAGAGCACAAGTTAACATTATCTAGCTTCCTACACAGAAGAAAACTAGATTCTTCAGGAAAAGCATTAAAGCAACTTCAAAAAGATAGGACTACTGAAGTCAGAATTCAAGAATCTAACTTAAGCTACCAGAGGATATTTCTCATTATCTACACCATCTCCCAAGTCCAGTGCCTTTTGTTTGGTTTCTCATAAAATTTTCAGGATACAAGTGCACTAGGAATAAACCTGCCCTTTACTGTTAGGCATATGATCTTCAAACTATTAGGCTTGGGAGTTCTTGATTTCAGAGTGGGTGGGTCACTTTTCTTATAAATAAAATATAAGAGTCTGTCACATCCAAACAAGTGTGCCTTACTTCATATTTTCCTTCTCTCAAAACTAACATCCTCCTTCATAGGACAGCCCACGCTTATGAATTTCAAGGTCTTTTTCTAAATCTCTTCTGTGGTTACAGTCTTTTGAAAGCAGAGAGACAGGGGTTAAGTAAGGGCATCTTCTGTCACACTACCTCTGCACTCCTCTGGCTACAAAACAAATAGATGCCTTCACTGACCAGTCCACATCGGCAGCTAGATCTTCTTTCTAGAGGTTAGAAAAGCCTATAGGAACAGACACTGTTTGGGACCTACTTATTTAACAGATGGACACTCTCCACACATCTTGTCAAAAGTAGAATTACAAGAGGCAAGATCTACAGCAGAAGTGAAGCGTACTTCATACTGAAGCATACTGGCCTAGCCAGAGGGGATACAGTAGTCTCCAAACATCTGGTTTAAACACACTTCACCTTATGGAAGTCATCAATCCAGAAGAGCTATCTCCGCCCACTATCATCTGAAAGAAACATTTTGTAGCAAGTTCTATAATTTTTGCTAATTAATTCTTAAAAAGCATCAGTTATATATGTACTTGAGGACATAGATATGTTGCTTTCCTTGAGAGAAGGGCTTAAGCCTCAGTACCTGTTGACATACAGTGGGAACTGGGAGCTTATGTCCAACTTGAAAACTCCACTCTCACACATCACATGAGACAATCAATAAAACAAATAAATAGCAAAGCAGTCAGTAAGTTTACATAAACAGTTGTCATCACTTTCAGAATTTCTGTACCAACAGTTATTACACTTTCCCACATGGAACTCGGGGCTGGGGGGGTGGGTGGTGTGAAGCTACAAACCCCACTTTTTTTAATGAGAGCAAATACATCTACACCGCTTTGCTAAAAACTGGCTATAGCATATGCTGCCAAAAAGGATTCCCAAGTGTTTTTGCTGATCATGAGAACCCTGAATGCACAAGGAAATGCCTCAAACTGCAGAGGGCAATATGCACTTGTTTTCAGTTGTCCCTCCTCCCACGAGAAAGTTTCAGGGTTTTTTTGGGGGTTTCTAACTCAACGCCACTACACACACATGGGTCTCAAAACCCCAGTCTACCAGCCTGCTTTCAAGAACAGTCCAACGCAAATGTGAAATTCGCTCTTAAGAAATCTCCACGCTTATTTAGAGA